TTATTGATACTATTTTTATAAATCTACAGAATTTTTCTAAGAGCTTTTCATCCTGTTGCTTGGACAGGAAAAACGGATAAATAAATAAATACATTCTTTCGTTACAGTTATAGTAATCGATCTAATTTAATATTTAACGACCAACATACAGAGGATGCTGTTCTCGAGGATGTGAAATTGTACAAAGAATTTGGCGGAGGTACTATAGTCGAAAATAGCAATCACGGTTTAACACGCAATATTCCGTTCCTGAAGAAAATCAGCGAGGAAACGGGAATTAATATTATTGCCGGAACAGGTAAGACTAACCCAGTTTAATGTTTAACGTTCTTAGAATTCTTGTTTTTAATTTTAATATTGATGCGTGAAAGGGTATTACGTTTCCGCGATTCAGAACGATGAAGGTTTAACGAAAGAAGAAATGTACGATGTAATGTTGAAGGAAATGACTATCGGTTGTGAGGAGTGTCCTGATGTGAAAACAGGATTCATTGGGGAAGTTGGAAGCACCTGGCCGATCACAGGCGCGTGATTAATTTACGCTATTTTTAATTAATATTTTAATGTCTTCACAAATTGTACGAATTTTTTTAAATAGCTTTCGAAAGACGGGCTATAGAAGCAACCGCGGAGGTTCAGGCACAGTTAAACTGTCCCGTAAGTTTTCATCCCGGGAGAAATCGTGTCGCACCTTCTGAAATAATGAGGATTTATCAGGAAGCTGGAGGACAGGCAAGAAAAGCGATTATGTCGCACCTTGATCGTACGTTTACTCTAATTCAGATAACAATTCAATTGCTACTATGATTTTGCTTCTTAAAAAAAGGAAATGAAACATATTATATTGTGATTTCGTTAATTATTATTGAACTTCAAATGGGAAAAATCGACAGGAACTTTACTCTCCCTGGAAGAACTTTTAGAGTTCGCCGATGATGCGAAGTGCTACTGTCAGTTCGATTTGTTCGGTATTGAATGCTCGTTCTATCAGTTGAATCCATTCGTGGACATGATATCCGATGCGCAGCGTATCGATCGCTTGAAACATTTTCAAAATAACCAGAAGTTGGATCGCGTACTCTTGAGTCACGACATTCATACCAAACACAGATTGGTACGTATTTTAAACACCAAATAAGTACGAATAGCATGAAGCAGCATATGAAACTTTTTATGAACACAATTACACATTTTCGAAACTTGTTTTGAAAAAGATAAAATTTGGCGGGCATGGATATTCTCATATTTTGAACAATGTCGTACCGAAAATGATGCTGAAAGGCTTCACATCTGAGGATATTGATACGTTGACTATTCGCAATCCAAGGACTTGGTTAACATCTTAATCGTCACGTTACGAAGATACATGAAAACGGACGTCTATAAAATTAAAACGACACATTTGTACTGATTGAAAATAATTTTTCACAAAATAAATTATCCATTCTAAAATGCGTGTAGTTAATAATAGTGTTCCCACCAAATTAATATCAGAATTTCAATAATTCAACATTCCAACATGTAAATTTATCCACGGTCATTACCAAGCTGTAATAAAAACGCTGTAATAATAACAGTGTCTTCCAGCTACTCGATCCTCCACGTTAATAACCCGGACACATTTGCATCCAAGGGATTATTCTAATTCTAAATACTTTGTAACCGCGTTAAGCGTTAAAGTCTTGTAAAATAACTGTCATAAAATATACGTAGATTCTTATTGATTTAGTCTACAATTTGGAACAATCGAATCAGGCATTAATTAATAATTGATTACTTGAGCTGATTTCCTGATAGTCGAAAACTGAACGGCGGTGCTCGAACGGCGGAGTGTTTACGACAATCGTAAGAGGTGATAGTGGTTCAAAGAGAATGATTGTGGAGCGAGGGGGGCGAGTGTACGACCCCTGAGGTCGAGCCTCTTGTCTTTCTCCGTTTGCCAGTTTACCAATCGAACTATCAATAAGTAGCGGCACCAAAGGAAACCTGTGTGGCTTCCTCGAGTTTGTAAAACAAATCTGACTAAGAATAGAGGAAGAAATGAATACGAGGAAACCAAGAAGGGACTCAGACGTCCTGCCATCCAAGTTTGGCCACAAGGAGCTGCTCTTCAAATTCCTCGTAATCGGCGACTACGGTGTTGGTGCGTTCACATAGTTTCCAATTCCTGCCTAATCAAAACTTTGTAATAGCTTTCATACTGTATCGTTTGATTTCTCGTTGCCATGAATTTTTCCAATTATCAGTTTCATAAATCAAA